ACTGATTTTTCTCTTTCTCAGCAGCCTTTTGCTAATTCCCCAATTACTGTTAACCTGGAGGTCCTGTTCTACTTTAATCACGGTGGTTTTGGGGCAAGTGCCCCTTCAATTAGTTTCAAGTATTCAATTCACACAGCTGTTTGCACTTACATTCCTGTTTTATCACCTGCTGCTATGCAGGCCATTTGACCAACATGAAGGTCTGTTCAAACACCCTCACGAGAATTCACTTGGGTGTGTGCAAAAGCTTCAAAGCAGAGGGACAGCAAAGGACTTTTTTTCAGCATCACGAACCAAACTACTCTTAAATCAAACAGCTGTTCTCAGAGCATTCAGGTGACTAACTTGGAAATGAAGACTCTCAGAATGGTGATAGTAACCAAACTGTGCACTGGCCTGCAAAGAAATTCCTCAGTAGTCCTGGTGCCAGGTAGCTGGGACCAGGGATGGGAGAGATTACCTCCTCAGTGGAAGGCTCTGGAACCAGTGCAACATTTCCAAACTGCCAGCAATTTATTTCTCTTTCCTGTTCCATAAACACGGGCAGCATGCTTGGGGAGAACATGGACCAGTGACCTCAATCTTCCTGTACATCTTTCCTCAGTTGTCTAAGGAAAGATTCTCTGTGGTTTTCTATCTGTTCTGGTCAGGAAGAACTTCATGAGTGACCCTTGATATTTTCACTTCACAAGTCTATATGTCAGATCAGTGTGCTGGAACAACAGGGTGGCACCTGGCAGGACTGAATTGCCAGGAAGCCGTGAGCCTGAAGCACTGAAGGCAGTGCTATTTGATCATAAGGAATGCCCTCCTAAAAGAGGTCTTGGAGAACTCTGAATCTACTTTCACTGACTCTGGAAGTGTAGACAAAAGTCAACAAGCACGGCATGGATATATACACGGTCAATGGGACATGACCTATGGAAAATGTTGCAGTCACTCAAGCTTCTAGGAAAAGACATAGAATAACACCTCCCTTGGAGATACTCAGGATCTGAGAACTGGGAGCCACAAGCAGGAAGATAAAACTTCACTGGCTTTTTTACCAAACTATACCACACAGTAAATCAGTTGGAACTCCTACTCAGGAGGCAGAAACAGAGCCAATTACCTGCTGGGAGCACTGAAGGTGCCTGGGTTTAGAAGTAACCAGCCACCTGAAGCAGGATGGAGAATGCTTCAGAGGATTCCAAGGACCAACAAACAGCAAGTATGCTCATGTTCAGAAATGAACTTGATGAATCTAGTTCTCTCTTTCTCAGGGGTTGATGGCAATTTCTCCATCCACTTGAATTCCCTAGGAAGTCCTGCTTTCCAGTTTTCTTGAATTCAGAATGATTTGAAGGGAAAGACTTTGCACTAGTCTAACAAAGGCAAGTAGCCCAGAAGGAAATACTAAAAAGAGAAAGGCAGAAAACCCAGAAGAAGTGCTACCACGGTGTGACAATACCGGAAGAGAGAAATAATCCCACAGGGAGAGGGATTCCAATGTGCCTGGTTGCTTTGCGCTCAGAATGAAAACCAGCTCCACAGCCCTGAGCCCCAGCAGTGTGTGTGTGAGGGCAGCTCACAGAGGCAGCTGTCAGGCTTAGCAGCTTGTGCTGCAGTTTCTGAGCTCTGTTTTCAGCTGTAAAGTACAAACAATGCAGGAGGATTCTGGAGCGTCCTTACCATAACTTCCTGACCCAGGTTATGGAGGATCCAATGACGAGGAGATGTGCTCTGCTGGGTCTCATGCTTATCAACGAGGAAGAGCTGTTTGGGATGTAAAGGTTGGGGGCAAGCTTGTCTGTGGTGACTATGAGATGTTGGAATTCAAGATCCTATGAGGAGGAAGGAGGGTAAAATCCAGAATCACAACCAGAGTCTTCAGGAGAGCAAACACTGGATGATTTGAGGATTTGTTTATAAGACTCCCATGGGAAGATTCCCACTTACCTGATTTGCCTCTGTATTGATCCCCACCATGTGTGAACCTGTGTCCTTGCTTTCATTCCAGGGCATCTGTTCAGCCAATATGTGGTAGCAATATTTTTGAAAGCATCCTCAGCCCACTGTGCAGCACATCCAGCCTTGCACTGGCAGTGATAGCATGACACAGAGTGACTGTGTCCAAGACAGAGTGGGAATATGGCCTGGTTTGTGGAGTCATCAAAGGCATGGGGATTGTTCTCTCCTGTTGGAAAGGCAAATGAAGCATCTTCTGGTTAGATCTTCATATGAGAAGAGGCTCAGCATGTTAGAACTGTTCAGACCAGAGAAGAGAAGGTTGGTACTCACCCACTGCCTGACAGTATTGCTTCCACTCAAAATTCCCACTCAGCAGAGTGAAGATGCAGGCTCCAGCATTCACACCCATTACAAAAATCCTCTGTGTTCTTGTCAGGTAACTCCTGGTCATCCAGTTTTACTCAGAATGAGGTTTCCCCCATCAGACAGTAGGTGCTGTAGATCTAGGAATTTGGAGACAATTCCCATGGAATTTTGTTCCAGTTCTGTTGTACTTCTGCCTTCTGGTGGATTACAATATAACCTTCATCATTCACATTAGTCAGTTCCCCAGGCCTCCAGGACTGGAAAGTAGAGAAACGAACTAAAACCAGAGAAGAGAAAATCCTTGGAAGGCAGATGCATGCAATTACACCATGGAGAAGAAAGCCAACATGGAAATAAACTTGGGGAGAAGTGACTAAAATGCTGCTTTGTGAGAATTAGCTTGGTCTCATAGAACTCCCTAAACAGAAGAGGAAAGTCCTTGTCCAGCAGCGGGTCTCCAGGGCAGGTATATTAACTCCTGGACACATGTATGACTTAGGGCTAAAGAGGTAACTTGTGCTGTCTTGCTCACAGCCAGAGCACTGGGCTTGGGCAGAGCCAGAGGGGAATGGTAGGAGTCTGAGACAAAGTAGGAAAAACGATGTAAAGTATGTTCAGTAAGACCTGTGTGGAAAGATGAAGTTTCACTGGGAAAAAGCCAATGGGAGAGAAGCATCTCAGCCCCAAAGAGGCTCTGAAGAGCACCGTGGCCATGTTCCCACCACAGGACACCAAAGAACATTAACTCAAAAGGCAGCAGGGAAGGATTTTGTTCTCCACAAGATACACATCTGCACAGTGAAGCTGGAGAGCACCAGGACATCAGGAAGGGAAAGGGAGGCTCTCTGCAGAACTGTACTTCATCAGGTCCCTGATACCACCACAAGTCTCTGCTGACCACTGCTTTCTCACAGCTGTCTGTGACACTTCACATCTGCTTGTATTACTGACTGTATCCTGTAGAATGAAGTCAAATCCTGCAAGTATCAACCCTATGGAGTGGAAATACTCCTGTCAATCACTGGGAGTGGCTAGATTTAAAAAAGAATTCCAGTCTCTTCCCCATTTCTCAGAAAAACAACATCATCAGGCATTTATGTACCCCAGGAAACACATCAGTGGAAATGGAGCAGGAGCCCAGGTGTCCAAGCCAGCTCCCAGGCAGACCACGGAGTCTGAGAGGTACCTTCTAGGAAGTCCAGAAATCTTGGCCAGCTACCACAGCAATCTTTTTCTCCTTGTGCCTGTCATGAGACCAAGTACAGGAAAGGCCAGGACATGCAGGAGCCAGCTCTGGATAAACCGAATGACTAAGCCTTACTGCAGGAGAGGTCCATATTGTATACATGTAAACATACATTCTTTCTGCTGGCAGGCTTTCGTCCTGCTGGCAGCCAGGGAGGGGAACAGGATCAGGCTGCTCTTTGAGTTGGTGTCAGTGCTTTCTGCCTACGTTGACCTGTGTGATTGCTTATATGTGTACATCCTTTTTCTCCCATATGTGTACATCCTTTTTCTCCCATATGTGTCTCTCTGTGTACACATTGTAGAGACACACTCAGTCTCACTACTGTCTGGAGATGCAGATGTGGAGCTACCACACACTGCTGTTCACAGAACTACTATTGATTGGCTTGGGAAGCCAAATCTCCTGGTCCCCTTGTCTCCAGTGTGAGTTCTCCTCTCTCTTTGGGACACAGAGAGAGCATTCACTGTCATAGTAAGGACAGAGTCACACAACCAGGTTGCACATCCACTTGCACTCCATGTGAGGAGCTCACACTGTTTGGTCAGGAAAGCTTGGGCAGATGATGTTTCTGGGGAAAGACAAAAGTGAGGACACAGGAAAGGGGTGGAGAAAAAGTGAGATCCATGGAGGCATATGGTCTGCAGCAGGACATGAAGGCAATTCAATAGGCAATGAACCTCTGGAAGGGACTTCATGTGCAGCAGCAGCCCTGTCCTGCCCCTTGCAGCCTCTTCTGCAGCATGACCTGGCCTGGGCAGGCATGCTCTTACAGGGACCACGGAGGATTTGGCCTCGCAGGAATGCTGCTGCATCAGGTGAGCCTGGGATCAGCTCTGACTTAGGAAGAGGACTGCTTCCTCCAGGTGGCACTCAAGGCCCAGAGTGGATTGTCCAGAGGAAGAGCCATGGAGATGAAGGCAAAGGGAATGGAGACAGAGGGCTGGAGCACCTCTCCTCTAAAGACAGGCTGTGGCATTTGTACAGCCTGGGGAAGAGAAGATTCCAAGGTGACCTTAGAGCAACCTTTCAGTACCTATAGGAGGCTTACAGGAAGGCTGGAGAGGGACCTGTCACAAGGCCATGTAGTGATGGCACGAGGGTTCATGGCTGTAAACTGAACGAGGGTAGGTTAGATTAGATTTCAGGAAGAAATTCTCTACTGTGACGTTGGTGAAGCACTGGCCCAGGTTTCCCAGAGGAGCTGTGGACGCCCAATCCCTGCAAGTGTTCAAGGCCAGGCTGGATGGGGCTTTGAGCAACCTGCTCTAGTGGAAGGTGGCCATGCTCAACACCCAGGGCTTGTAACCCAATGATCTTTAAGGGTCCCTTCCAACACAAACCATTCCATGATTCAAGGATTATACCCCAGCAGATTAAAGATGGAAAGAGAGAAAGACAGATCTACACACACTGTACAGAGACTTTTTTATTGGTCTAATACTGTATTTTCTCTTGCATAAATTTCAGAACTTGTTCAACAAAACCAGTGCAACTGGAGGACATTCTGCGTGTGACTCAACAGAAAGCAGAGACTTCTGCTCAAGGAGAGAAAGAAAATGCAGCTCAGGACATCTGTCTTCCATTCCTGTGTCTTCTTCCTGGAGAACTCCATGTCGTTTCTGCAAGTGGCCTCTGGACCCACTCAGAGAGAAGAGGACACAAGAACACGGGACCTGCTTTGATGACCCTCAGCTTTCAAGTGTTCCCTCAGCCCCTCGATGCACTGGGGATGCTGGACAAAGGGTCGTATCACTTCCACTTCCATTATCCCACGCAGCACAGTGAAGATGCAGGCTTCAGGGCTCCTCACCCCTCCAGCACAGCCCTCTGCCTGTCTCAGCTCACTGATCATCTCCCATTTTTGCTAAGGATGGGGGTTTTTCCATCATAGAGTTATGGCAGCAGCTTCACAAATCCGATAAAACATCTGACATTCGACATTATTCCAGTTGTTGGGTATTTCTGAATTCCTATGCATTACAACACACTTCTCATAATCACTTTCACTTGGTTCATTTCTTCGCCAGAACCTGAGACAGAGACAGGCATGTTACTCCCCAGCTTTCATTGTAAAGAACTGCTGGAAAATGCTACAGAAGGATGCAAGACTTGAAGGGGAGAGAGAAAAATTCCCAATGCTGATTCATGGACAGAAGCAGTACCCTTCCACCCTCTCTGATATCCCACTGGCACAAGTGTCATGTGGAAACCTGCCTTCTTTCTACAGCCTTCCAACACAGAAGGGCCCTGCTCCTTCCTTCTGGGGGGAACTGATCACCACCACTCACCCCATGAACTTCACACCCAGCAGAGACACGTGTCTGCCTTCAGGGCAAGTTTGTGATACCTCCCTCTCACACACCAATAGACACCCTCACATCTCCCCTACTTTCTCGCACTACCAGGAGGCACACCAATCACTCTCCATCCAGGGATACTCACGCTGCTGTTACATTATAGGGAGTCTTGTCCACCCACTGCCACTGATCCACAATCTCTGCTCTCAGACCAATGTAGAAATTCTCTGCTTTTAGAACTGGTTTTATCTGTTTAGAGAGGAAAACCTGGAAATGAGGGAGAGTGCAATGTCTGTGAGATGCAGGATTGATCAGAGGGAGGCATCAGGAGTCCATGTGGAGTAGGGATGGTGGCAAACAGAACCCAGTGCAGGACAAGGAGGGGCTCTTAGTCCCCTCCAAGACCCAGCATTGTCTCTGTGGCTGCTCTGCCCCTCCCTCAGCCCTGTGCATGTACCTGCTCTTCCTCACTGTTGATCACCACCAGGTGGGAGCCCATCCCAGTGCAGTTCTGCTCACTCTCAGACCAGGACATCTTATCAAGGGACAGAAAATAGCAGCTGTTTTGAAACCTTCTCCAGCCTTTCGGGCAGCACATCCAGCCTCGGCCTGTGCGGGGAGAGAACACAGAATGAATGCAATAAATGCTAGCAACAAGAGAGATGGTGATTGCAAAGATCCAAGTCCTCCAGGGCCAGTGCTCATGTTCTCCTTAGTCACTTCTCCTGACAGAAAGTGCTTGAAAAACAAGCAGAGGACAGATACTTTTCCCGCACTGCTTTGAGGATGACCAGTGAGGTTTGTGTACACAGAATCCTGGTAATCTCCTTGCAGGTCTTCACAAGATTATTTTGGTGGTCTAGTTTGTCTTCTCCTTGTCAAGTCAGTCTCCTTTAGGCCTTTAGTCCCAGGAAACAGGGGATATTGCTTCTTTCCTTGACTGGAGCTGCCCTTTTACTATTGCTCCATTGTTAACCTCCCCTGTGCCACTCTGTGCTGTCCCCCTTGTCTGGTCAGAGTTCACATCCACGATGCCCTCCAGGACATCATTAACATGGCCCTCTCCTCCTGTAACAGTTTGTTTGGATACATGTCCGGAATAAAAACAAGTGCCAGAAACATTCAAACACACAAAATATCTTTTATTACAGTGAGAATAATAATGATAATAAACTTAGCAAAAAGAATTAAAAACTAAAAAGGATACAAAATAACTACCTTATTGCGTGGCCTTAAAAAAAAAATAAAAATATGAACAGCATTTATAACATGATATTAACTAGTAAAAAAGGGATTTTAAAGGGATATCAAAAAAGGATCTTAACATGATATTATGGATAGCTATTAACATGATATTGGTTAGTAAAAGGAAATTAAAGGGAAATACTATGAACAACTTATTTATGTAACAATATTCAATAATAAAAGGGGAATTAAAGGAACACTAAAAGGATATTAAAAAGTTTGCTTTCTCGGTTGCTTCCTGTCAATAAACTGTGCTTACCCACACAGACAGGCCAGGGCTGTCAGGATCTGCAGCAGCTGGTTGGCACTCGTGCTTAGCGGGCATCCCCACGGAGCAACACAGTCTCGGTGGCAGGATGAGCATCGCTCAGCTCAGCAGTCCCGACACCCCATTTTTATCAGTTCCACATTACGCTACTTAGGACCAGTACACAGTATAAGGTGATGCCTGAATGGCAGCCAAACACTGCCTAATCATTACCTGATGGTAACAGTCTGCACGTGCCCTACTTGTGGGGCAAGGGGCGAGCGACCCCTGCCCACATCATCTTCCTCCCATCATCATCTTTCTCACCCCATGTATGACCTCTACCACTGTGTTTCAAGGGTAGATGTATCTATCTTGCAATATGTAGCAAAACCAAGGAAGAACTCAGCTCTGATAATAGGGGATATCAGGCTGACTTGCTAAAAAGCACAGTGGACCTTACAATTAGCTTGTGCCATGAAGTTACATTGTACCATACTCTAGCTGGTTTCACATCCTAATATGATTCCTTTCTCACTGTAATGGAGCCTCTATGCTCCATTGATCATCTAATTCAAAAGTACCCCCCCTTACACCTCCCCCTAAGCTCTTAGCAGGAAACCCTTTTTCTGCCTGCTTCCCTCCTCTGCAGTCTGCCTCTCCCGAGCCTGCTCCTGCTGCCACTTGCTGTCAGAGCAGACCTCAGCATTCATTGTCCCCATCCCAAAGACCTCCTGTGCCCCTGCCAGCCCTACTGACCTTTGTTTTCCGACACCGCTGAGTTGCACTCCCACGCTGTGAATTTCTCCTGCAGGGCTGTGGGCCGGTCACTGCTGTGGGAGAAGGGAGCCACTGGAAAGGGAGAGGAAAGGTGGCAGGATTACTCCTTCCTCCTGGCTCCTCACACAGCATCTCTGGGCTTCACTCCTGTTCCACCATTTCCCCACCAAGCATTGTCCCAGCCGTCACCTCTCCTGGCCCAAACAAGTGGCATGGCTGCCTTCCCAGCCCGCAAAGAGACAATCTTGCATCTCAGACAGCAGAAGGAACACTGGAAGGACACACCCTGAGGATGTGCCAGACAGGGCAGCATTGATTGCACCCAACCACAGCCACTCTGCCATGAACATACCTACAGCCAAGCTGCCAGTCTGAACCTCTGTACAATCAGTGAATAAAAAGCTGCTCTTCAGTGTCACGGTTTATCACTCCCTAAACTAGATATCAACAGTAATTTGGAGGAGTAGCACATCAGATGGGTCTGTTTCTTCAGCAACAGACAGTGCAGGTGAAGGTAATCACATACAGCTGGAGCTGCTGAAATCAGGGTAGAGGGTAAACTCCTAGGATTTCATAGCCCCCAGTTTCTGGGGAATAATACAGTGTTGGTGAATGGTCACATCCACAACCTGAAGGACCTATTAGTAACTCAAACACTCAGTGGTATTGACTTAAAACCAATCAGGATGTGCTCAGCAACACAGATGTCTGTTTTTATTAATTATTTCATTTAGAAGTATGTTTACTAGTGGGGAGAATAGAGGCATCACAGGATCAGGGAACCATAGAGTACGCTGAGATGAAAGGGACCCATCAGGATCATTGAGTCCAACTCCTAGCCCTTTACAGGATATTCCCAAGAATCACACCACGAGCCTGAAAATATTGTCCAAATGCTTTTTTAATTTTGGCAGGCTTGGTGCTGTGACCACTACCCTGGGAAGCCTGTTCCAGTGTGCAACCACCCTCAGGATGAAAAATTTCTCCTGACATCCAACTTTAACCTCCCTCAACTCAGCTTCATGCCGTTCTCTTGGGTCATGTCACTGGTCATGAGAGTGAAGGGATCTGTACTTGCCCCTCTGCTTCCCTTCATGAGGATGTTGAAGACCCCAGTGAGGTCTCCCCTCAGACTCCTCCAGGATGAACAGACCAAGTGAACTCAGCCACTCCTCATAACGTTTCCCCACCAGACCCTTCACCATCCTCATGACCCTCCTTTGGATGCTCTCTAATAGCTGAATGTCTCTTTTATATTGTGGTGCCCAAAAGTGCACACAGGACTCAAGGTGAGGCCTCATAGTGGCCTCAGTGCCTGATGAGGAATGAATTTCTGGAATGGAAGAAGGCTCAGAGAAGATGGGCAAGGGCAATGAGTGACTGACCACCTCTGATGCAAAGAAAGGTGACCTTATCACTACACAAAGGGGGATGAGAAGATAGATGGCCTTTGTTTTAGTGCAGCTGAGCAAACTGACCAACTGTGCATCCCTCTAAAGATCACGAAGAGAGTGGTGTCTTCCTAAGTTAGCCAGACCAGCATGGGATGAGTGTATATGTGGCTTAGTCCAAAAGAGAGTAAAAAAATGAATGACTAAAAAGACTTACCTGAGGAAAGCACTGGGCCTGAGCTGTCCCCTCATATTTTTTTTTCTTGGTCATCGGGGACACTGGATGTCTTGATGCTGAATGTATTGCAGAACTGTGTTCAGTTTTGGGCCCCTAACTACAAGAAAGAGGTGCTGGAGCTTGTCCAGAAAAGGGCAACAAAGCTGGGAAAGGGTCCGGAGCACAGGTCTTATGAGGATTGGCTGAGGGAGCTGGGGTTGTTTAGCCTGGAGAGAGAGGAGGAGGCTCAGGGGGGACCGTATTGCTCTTCACAACTACCCGAAAGGAGGCTGTAGCCAGGTTACAGTCAGCCTCTTCTCACAGGTGACAACTAACAGGACAAGAGGAAATGGCCTCAAGTTGTACCAGGGGAGGTTTAGTTTGGATGTGAGCAAAAACCTCTTCACGGAAAGGTGGGTCAAGGATTGGAACAGGCTGCCCAGGGAAGCAGAGGAATCCCCATTCCTGGAAGTGTTCAAAAAACATCTAGATTTGGCACTTGGGGGGCATGGTTTAGTCGTGAGCTTGGCAGTGTTTGGTTAACGGTTTGACTGCATAACCTTAGTGGTCTTTTCCAACATTAATGATTTTACTATTCTATGTTTGTATGACCACTAACGAAAATCATGTTTGTATTGTGATTCATCTGTGCATTGCAATTGCCACTCTCTGCTATGTGAAATTTGTACTGGTGTTTTCATTTTAATACATTTGCTGTATCACTCTGCTAAACCAAAATCCTATGTAGCATCAATTAACTTGGATAAGTAAATTTGCCACTAAAAATTAAACCTTCCATGTGTATGAGAAAGTATCAGGCTCTAACATCCCACCCTAAAACTCCCCAACCTTTTAGCCTAGTACTGTGAAAAGTTATACATTTGGGAACAAAGCAGTACAAACTCCTGGGACTCAGGAACTAATGACAGCAAAAGGAAGGGCAGTGATTTATCATAATATATGCCTCTATCAGAATCCATCACAGTTATTGACAATTTGTGGAAACATGCCATGAATTGTCTTTAACAGAAAATGAGAATGAAACAGCAATCACAATCTCCACAAACTGCATGTGCAAGAATAATTTTTAATTATTTAATCTGCAATTAACCCTAAAAAGGTGTGAGAGTTAGCACTGTGCAGCTCATCCTAGAGATGCCAGGACTATGAGAAGCCATGTTTTCTGTTAGGACACAAAGTGTGTCCAAGCACCTTAGAGAGCCTAAGTGCAGATTCAGCTGCCTGTGTAGGCCGTTGTCCTTCCATCTCCACTTTTTCCCCTCTGCTAAATGTAATTTAGTTCCTTTTTGTGTAGTATGAAGGTAGAGAATTGTTCCTAAGTTCCAAAGAGGCCATTCAAGATGGGAATGTGCAATCTGGGCACACTGAAAAAACCCAGGTAAACAGTGGAAGATTTGGGGGATGTATGCAGACATATACAAAGTCAGGTCAGGAAAACCTGAGACCTTTACACAAAGCCCAGACAACCATGCAGTTTTGAAAATGGCCATGCTTCAAGCAGGGCAATAGACTAGAGACCTCCAGTAGCCCTTTCCTGCCTAACTCTTTTCATAATTCTCAGGAAAAGGGTGGGTAAAACAGAACCATCTGGCATAATGGTGGGGTAGTCCTGCCTCCCACATGCCAGTTGGCCAGAACCTCTGGTTTGGCTGGCCTACAAGAGAGAAGTTTGTGTCATGTTGCAACTGTGCCCTTAAATCCCCAATGCTTAATTAATCAGGGAAGATTTTGCTCCTAAACATACCATTAAAATGTTCAACGTTTGGATGTTCTGAACCCAAATGCTGGTGCTTGCATCCTTTTCTCATGACAAAATTGTTCTTGAGTAAAAGCCCCCTCTGGTTGGAAGGTATTCCCCTCTGGGTACTGATTTCTCTTCCTTTCTCCCAGCACTTCCCCCAGACCTCTCTTCTGTAACCAGCCTGCACATACTCACCAAGGAGAACAACAACAAGGGCAATGCATGTCAAGAGGAGCAACAGTGAGATCAGCCATGGGAGCCACGGTGGGTATTTCTGGGGGTGGTGCTCACACTTCTTCGTCTCAGGAGGTGCTAAAAGTGAAGGAACAAACCAAACAAAACACCACAGTCAACTATGCTTTGGTCAGTCCCCAGACCACATATCAAGGATGTACTACTCCAGAAAGAGCTCCTCAAAAATAAAAAGCAATTTAATTTCTGATGTGGAAGTTACATGGCTGGGGAGAAGAGCAGACTGGGACAAAGCAGGGGACCTCTGTGGTTTCTAGAGAAGTCAAGTTCAGTGACAGTATTCCCAGTCCCAGCCCAACTGGTGAGCTAACAATGCTAACTGCTGTTATTAGGAGGTGAAGCCTTCATGTGGCCTCAAAATCTAAAGAGAAACAGTGTCTTTCTAGAATGAGCCCAAAGCTGCAGAAAACCTTTTATGCCTGATTCAGTTCCTTCTTAGCATTTTGGACTTCCTGTGCAGAAGGTTGATATAAGATGAATGAGTACAGGAGACAAAAAATGTACAACGCTATGATGGCTCATAATCATTGGGAGATTAAAAGCTATATTCTTCCCTTCCATCTCTGCTTTCTGAGCCAGGGTTCAGAGATTTGCTCTAATAGGTTCCACTAGGATGGATACCTCGGGAGAACAAAGGGCTGTGTCCAGCAGCCTAAGTAAAGTATCACACTCAGATTAAGACTTGACAGGACTTGACTTTTGTCTAGGGGGATTTTGCCAATACTGAGGAGGTTTGGAAGTAGACAGAGGAGCAGGTCACAGGGAAGGAGAAGCCATCACTTGTTAGGAGATTGTTCTAGTTTGTGGCAGGTACACAAGCCAGAGCAAATAGAAAGGTAAAGAGACTGTAGCACTCACTGCAGGACAGGAGTAAATAAGTTTTTGGAGAGACTGATATTAATGATAAGATTTAGAGAGACCTCATTTGTTGTTCAGCATGAAACTCCCAAGTCTATCAGCAGCCATGTGTGCCTGCCAGTCATGTCTAGTAAGCAAGACTTCCAGAAACCTGCTCTTTGTGAAAGCCTTCTGACTACTTCCCAAAGGTTACAGAAGGGCAAAAGGCATAATGTTGCATTATTTGTAGAGAAAAAATTCATAGACAGACAAGATCCAGATTGGTGAAATAATGTTTTTTCTAGCCAAAGCTTTTGTCTGTAGTGAAAACAAGGAACCAGCTCATGATCTGGAGTCCAGCCACCTACTTCAGACCCAACCAGTCCAAATAACTTTTTTGATGTGCAGCACATCCAGAGTATGACTGTTCAACCTGTGCCCAGTCAGACCTGAGCATCCCACACTCTCACCCAAGCAGCACAGGGAGCACTGTATGCCATCCCCCTCAGCAGCAGTAGTGCTGAGTGCAGTAACCTTGTGCACACTCAGTGGGTTGAGCTCCCTGCAAAATGCTTTCCACAGTTGGTCTGCTTGCTTGTAAAATTTCCAGCATGATCCCAACACAACAGACTTGATGAGCATATGCTGGTTATTCAGCATGTAAACCAACATCTCCTAGGCACAGGTAGCAAGTGTGGGGCAGCACAGATGCCTGTGTTTTTATCTGGGAAATCCTGGTTGGAAATGAGGAATTTCCTGCTAGAGTTCATGTATTGTTTGATTAGCCTTCTCCTCTCTAACTTCTTGACTGCCAGTTTTGGTATCCCTAGAACCCCTGAAGAGGCTACAGAATGGGAAAACCCAGGTGTGCTTGGCCATTACCAACACGGGGTCTGCATGGCCAGAGTAACCATTCAGAAGAACAACAGAGCAGCAAGACTGTCTCAACCTTTCACTAACAATCATAACGCTCATCCTATGTGCATAGTGTGAGGCTGTGAGAGACACAGAACTGTCTGCAATGGTACTACCAGACACTCCTCTGCATTCCAAGTATAAACAACAGGCAGTGTGAGATCACTTCAACAGGCACACCCAAAATCAGACCCTAAGCACACACCCAAACCTATAGCATAAGCTTGGCATCCACAGCTCAAGCAGACATGGCTGGATCAGATGTCTTTGGAATATCATTTGGAACACGGTGGGGAACTTCCACCACCCCCACCTCACCACAATGGAAATGCTAGCTGTATCCAGAACCAGCTAATCTTGGTGCATTGAAAACTGTGAGCTTTCAAGACAGTCATTTATTTCCATGACTCATGCCTCAGAGCAGGCAAGGAATAACCTGGAGCTGATGTCTGCTCTGTTTGGGATTGTAAAACTGAATTAAAGCTGTTAATAGTCAAGTTAATATCCTTAGCAGCAGTAATTAATTTATGCACACATACTTTCACTCCCCTGAAACCTGTTGTATAGGGTTCTCTATGTCAGGGCAGAAGCAATGAGCCATACATAAAGCCTCTCTGTTGGTTCCTACTTGTGGCATAATGACTACAAACTGATCAGAACATGCCTTACATTTGCATAAAGTCTGGTAAAAAAAAATTACCATTGTAATTTTTAATAGCAATAAAAATTTGTTTGGTGTGTTAATTATTTTTCAGGAGCGGCAGACATCAATAATAGAGTTGGATCTTCCTCCAGATCTTAAATAATTCTCCTTCTGTGTATTTTAGGGTGTTTTGTTCAAGTTTTGGGTCTCTTTTCTTCAATGACCATATCTCAATCAACCATGGAAAATGGGGTTATAAGTTCCTGCAGCCAGTACCACTTCTCATGAAGCTGCAGAGTACAACTGACTGCTCTGCTACAGGGAGACTCCTGTCCTTTCCATAAGCAGGAATCTGTGGTCTCACTCTCTTAGAAGCAGGAGCAGTAGCAGCAAGGGCTTGGGCTTATTTTCTGCTTTGGGAGCCCCTTCACCTTTGTAACAGATTAGATTGTTTGTAATAAATTGTTGGTACTCAATACTGTCCAAAAACGACTCATTCAAGACTACATACCATGTAAGGATGCAGCCAGCACAGAAGCAGGGCTAAGCACTACTCCTGTACAGTGCCTATGCTGCACCTTATACCTATTGCCACTGTTGGTGTTGCAACCAGGGGACTGAGGGAGCCCAAATACATTCCTTAATGAATGTTCACTTTAAACCTACTGTCTGTGCTCCCAGTAGTCATTCTTGATCATGTTGCAACTCCAACTCACCTTTACTCTTGCAGACATTCCTCGAGACTCTTACTTCAAAACTCCTCCAGTCTCCTGCTTATTTAGTGGTAGACAGCTCCTTTTTCTCACCAATCCATCAAGACCAGGCAGGAAAAGACTCTGTTCCCTGTTCTTCAGCCCCCCTTCATGCCAGCTCCATTTCCCCTGAATAACCCATCCATTCCTTACCTTCAACCACTGCAGCCAGTGATGCATTCTTGAACTTCACCTCAGCATAGGTGACTTCTGATGCCATTTAATCAGTGTGACCACTGACCCTGTCCTTAGTTTTGCCACATAAAATGTGATCCTTTTAGGTCCTTGTTTCCAGGGGGTGACACCAATAGGTTACTGAGGCTTTCCCATCAGCTCATTCACCCTCTGCCCATAAAAGAAGGCTGTGTTAAACACCAGAAACACTGGCAATAACCTCAGAATTCCTGGGAGCTCAGAAGTGCTCCATATGGGTCTTCAGTTTCTTAGCCCAGAAAATCAGCCCTGGCACTATGAAAGCTTCTGAGACATAAAAAAAAAGAGAACCTAACAACTGAAAAGGAAGTTGCATCCTTCCTTCCCCTTAACCAATTCCCAGCTGATAGCCTTGCTTTTAAAGATATTTTTAGGGTTTTCTTTTTGTCTTTTTACCTTTCTTATTTAACTTTCTCCTATTCTCATATTTTCATGCCTTCCTTTGTCTGTTTGCATTCTACTATTGTCCCTAGGTTTGCAGCTATCACAGCTCCTAGCCCAGTTTAACCCACAGTCCAATATAAAATGCATCCTGCCCTCACTAGTCCCTTGTGATTAAGCTGCATTTTCTACATCATATGTTGTAGTTATGTGTCATTCTCGGAAGTCAGTCCCACTTGGGAGCTAGCACTTATAACAAATCTCAAATAAGGAAATGTTCCTGTAGAAGTGAGACTAGGGATCTGCAGCCTTAGGCAAAGGAATAAAAATAATCAGAACTATGATATATCCAAGGAGAAACAAAAGGATGAGGCCAAGGTCAAGGAGGAGAGCAAGCAAAGTGGATTTAAAAAAAAAAATTGCTGATGGTTTGAGAGGTTATTGGGAAGACCACACACAGTGACCTCTCTGTCACAACCTGATTCACAGCCTGTGGAAGTTCAGAGCAGTGCTTGCTTCAGGTTCCATTTCAGAGGCTTTTGAAAAGGGATGGTTTATATTTTTTTGCTCCAACACTGTAATTTATCTCCCTTATCTGCTTTCTGGTAAAGGCCTCTGATATTACCTTGGACAAAATGTCAGTCTGATCTTTAGCCCGATTTCAAGCTGGAGCAGATCTTGAAAGAAGACAATTAAGGGAAATGGCTGCTGAGATACATGCTAGATCAGACAGACTCTGAGAAGAAATGCCAGTAAGTCAGGCAGGGTGAGAAGGGTTCAGTCAGCAGATAGGACTCAGGAATCACAGAATGGTTTGGGTCAGAACGGACCTTCGCAGACTGTCTTGTCCAGCCCACTGCCATGGGCGAGGACATCTTTCACAACATCAGGCTGCTCAAAACCCCTTCCAATCTGGTCTGAAACATTTTCAATTAAGGGGAATCAGCAGCTTCTCTGGGCAAACTGTGCCAGTGTTTCAACATCCTCATTGTAAAGATTTTGTTCCTTATATCTAATCCAGATCTGGCTTCTTCCACTTTAAAACCATTACCCCTTGTCCTATCACTACAGGTGCTGGTAGAAAGTCTCTCTCCATCCTTCTTTTAAGCCCCATCTAAGTATCGAAAAGCCACAACAAGGTCTCCAAAACAACCAGAAGGGACAAGGAGAAAGCTTTGCTTGGTTAGTTTAGCTAGCTGGAATTTCCTTAAAGCAGAGCAGACTGAGATGCTCACAGGACATCCAGGGAGCTAGCACAGAGGGCACACAGGGCAGAGCTGGAGGTGAGATAGGGCAGTACCAGGAAGAACATGCATCAGACACCAGAGGACCATAATGTGGTAGAAGGTAAAGGGCACGTGAACACAGATTACAGAGAACTACCCCTAAACAGAGTAGGGTATATGTAGCTGGATTTCTTTACCAAGGAGCCTCCTCATGTCTTGTGTGCTCTAAACTGGCTTTATTTCTCCATTTTGTATTGTTTGCAAAGAGCGTGACTTTTATACAAGAATCAGAACATTTGCAGAACAGAAGCCTGGCCCCTTGAGAATATGCATGCTGCCTGCTTTTCTTTCCAACATCCTTCCAGCACTATGCTTTGTCTTCAGGCTTGGCCCTCTCACTGGAATTAAGTCTCCCCTGAGTGTCTGCTGAAATCTAGTAAGCCCTCAAATTTCATGTTGAGATTTCAGAGCAATCCTCTGCATGCTTCCCCCTGTCACCACCCAACCAAGCTCAACAGACCCAGTCTCGTGAGGAAAAGGCTTACTTCCTGTCAGGGTTTCAAGATTTCCACTGTGGAGAAACAGGAAATACAATCAGCAGACAAAGAAGGAAGTCACAAAGGTTTTTCCATTGAATCACATCTCCAAACAGAGCTGAGGCATTTCAAATGCGAATTCAGGCTGTAGCTGCTCTTTTTATTAGATTACACTAGACTGCACTCAAACATCAGTAGACAGCTCAATTCTTCTTTCTCAGCCATCAGAGTTGTTGTTGCTTGCTATCGAAATTCAACCTTGAATCACACTTCCATAGGATGGAATGCTGAGCTGCGCAACAACAGTGAGGCGATATTCCTGAGGGTAAAATTTGTCCTTTGCATTTCATATGCACTGATGGCATGTAACTGGGTGGAAGACAGGAACAATTGGGCCCTGCAGTTAGTTGTGGTGCTAAAAAAAAAACAAAAAAAAATAACATCTTGCTTTATAAAAAAACCTGAACTCACACTTTGATTCCTTGCATTCCCACTGCTGCTCCTCAGTTCCTCTCTTTCCCCACTCCTGTGTTCTGCTCATCCCCTTGTCCTCCAACAATACCTGTGTTTCCCCACAGACATCTTTCAGCTGAACCCTACTCTGCAGTGCCACATACCTCCCACACTCCCAATTCCCACTTGCCTCACGACCCAGCTCCTTTCTAGGACTCATGTGCTTGCTCACCTCAACAGCCCTGTACTTCCTTCTTACTTGTGCTCCCGTCGCTGGTTGCTCTGCAAAACTCCATGGGCACCATTTGGCTGCCTGACCCAAACAGAAAGCACCGGAGGAAAGCTCTTTCTCCCCTACCTGTCAATAAGGTTTGAATAATGTAGTATCAGCAAGCCCTTCACCTCACAGACAGTGTCACCCAATCGAGCAAGCAGGTCCATGTCACAACAGAGGAGACAGCGCCATTGCACAGGCCTTACTTCTTTTGAAAATCCATCTGAACCAGAGAGCAGAGCAGCCAAGGGAAGAGCAAAAAAGGACAGTGAAGCATGGAAAATGGGGAGAAGTTAATAAGGGAGGTGAGATACCTAATCAAAGGGATTCAGACAGTGAAAGCTCCTTGAAAGCTCCTGAGGAATTTGGCTCATCTGAGAGGATCTACCAACATTGTGTACCCTGCTGCAAGGAACTGGTTAAGGCAGGGAGGGGCAGTATGCTGCAGTTCTTACTGCAGGAGCTGAGTTCCCCCAGCTCCAGGGGACAGTGTGGGAGCACTGCAGCCCCCTGGGAACTGGGAGAAAGGCATTCCATGGCTGATAACACTGGCCAGAGCTGCAAGGATAAGAGAACTCTCGTGGAAGGCAGTCACAGAAGGTGAACCAGGGTTCCATACAAATTGCCAGGAGACCTAGGAAGAAATGGGCTATATGGAGCTATAAAAGCTCAGAGAAAAGGACATTTGAGCCAGCATCCAGGGGAGAAGAGAAAACAGGGAAGTACTGAACGGACAGTGAGAAAGGGAGGTGAGAGCAATGAGTGGGATGGGTTAAACAGAAGGCAGCACTGCGAAGCCACACTAGTTTCTGGCAGGTGGCAGCACTTCACCACAGGCAGGCCTGAGTCAGCAGCAACACACGGTGTCCTGAGCAAAACCACCTAGAGTAACACTAGTACATAGACAGAGATCAGCACCTCACCAGAATATATGGTTACAGTACCATGCAGAACACGGTGAAAGAGATGAGAAAGAAATGTTTCCTCCCAGAAAGGGTTTGTGCACTTTTCCCCTGCACACATTTCTACCAAGTTTTAGTGAGACTTGAGGTTTTCAAGCAGAAGAAGCCATGTCCCAAAGTTATGTGAGCTGAGAGAGCTCAAACTCAGTCAGACTCCAGAAGGGAAAGTCGAGTGCCCAGCTGTAATGACAGACTATCAAAATCCCCCCAGGCACAAAGGAAAGAATAAGAGAAGTAAGAACACTATCCAGGGAATCTTCAAGGAGACAAGAAGCCCCAACCTGCCTCTTTACATAAAGCATTAACATAGGATTGTTTCGTCAGAAGAGATGTTTCATTTATTTCCCCTAATTAACAAATTATCCAGTCAAAGCTGACCGAGGACACATTCAGATGCATTTACCTCACAGCTTTGGTTTATGCCATTACTGCGAACACCGCACCTTTGCCCCCTTCCTCTTTTGGACCGGAGTCACAAGTCTCAAGGCCAGAAATTGTTGGAAATCAGGTCCAGATACTGCAGTTGCTTGCCACAGTGGCATATCTGACTTCAAACCTGGGCCAGATCCAAGTCCTGCTCAGCCGCCAGTGGCCTGTTTCAGAGGCAGGGCTGTGAAGTTTATCATTTTAGACAAACTGCATATGGGATTTGCATGAAAAAGTTGTGGCCACATAATACCTCCAATTCTTCATGTTTTATTTTCAGTTCTGTCTAAGGATCACACAGATCATCAACAGCCTTGAGTTCAGTTTGGCTACTCTCTGCCCAGTGAGGTGAATGCACCTGATCTTCTTTTGAAGGGGGAATGGGGGGAGTGGAAAGAAAAGCATAAAAATGGAAAACAACCACAGTCACTAAGTAACTATGAGGGTTATCAGGTAAGGTCACACAGATCCATGACGTAATCTTAGGGCCACTCTTATTTGATCTCAAGTTGTTTCCCTCCACATCCTCTCCACATAGTAAAATCTTCTCATAGGGAGGTTTTGGGGACAGCTCTACTGGTTAGGCTGTCCCAGCAGGTGGGTCTGGAATAGCAGCACAAACTTCCCTGGTCCTGCAGTGCTCCCTCACCCCACTCATATCCTCAAGGGCAGATGTATAAGTGAGATTGTAAATGGCCTGTGCTGACCCTTACCCTGCACTCTGTAGCCAAGGCAGCTCTGCATGCCGTTTGCAGCCTCCGAGCCCACCTTGTGCTGGCCAGCAGCAGGGCAGGGGGACACCATCTGCCCCTAGAGGAGTGCAGACCTCCCATGTCTGCACTGTCCTGTCCAGTCAGGACATGACAAGGCAAAGGCCATTTGGAAACAGCGACAGAAAGCTGAATGAAACCCAGGGAGAAGAGTCAACTCAGTCAGACACTCCTTGGCACCTCGTCACTGAAACACGCTAGGAAAGTTTTAATGCCAGGCAGGG